AATAGCAACATTATATGATTATAAACTGTTGTTAGCCATTGCCTGCAAATCCACTTGATACAGGTGTTTCAGTCTCACAGATCCAATTAAATTCAAATTTAGCCAAATTTCTCTTATAATTAGACGATCATATCAGGGCAATTTGGTTAATTTCATTGAACCAAAAATTGAGATATATCTTCAATGTGTCTGAATCTTGTTTGATGATTGACAGCAAGGTCTTGATATTATTCATTACTCAGATGGGACCTTTTACATTTTTTTAAAAAAATTACATCTGAGAAGTTTATTAATAAACTCAAATTAATCTCAACTGATCTGTGAATTTTGAACCATAATCATCGGACCATTGAAACGCATTGTGCGGCATGCAAAATGCTGGATAGTAAAGATGGGATGGGTAGAACAGATGCCCCAAACCATAACCAACAGGTTAAGTTTTGTTAACATCAGTTGATGGAAGTGTTTGTTTACAGTCAGAACAATCTCCTCTCAGTAACTTGAATATCTAATTATTGTCAGAGAGACAGGCAGAAAGGGTTTGAACACAAGCAACTACAGATTATATTACTAGTCTACACTTCTTTGGTTGTAAGGTTTGATTGTTAACAGGTCATGTTACAGTCACACATGAGAAATTTTCACTGAATTTAGCTTTCAGGCAGAGGAGCTGAAGAGGAAGAGAATCATGAGCAGTGATGTCAAGGAAACACTATCATCAAATCATCCTAAATTGGTCACACATTGTTTTGTTAATGGGTCATTTTCCTAGAATTCTCTATTTAAAATCCTCATAGGATATCATCAGTACCACAATTCCAATGGTTCAAGCACGTGGCCCAGCATCATCAACTCAAGGCGACAAGGCATGGTCAATAAATGCAGGCTTTATAAGAACCAAAGAAAAACATTTATTGGTGAACAAATGGTAATAATTTTCTTTTTTTCATGAATAAAATGTTACTAACTGATTTAATTATTTCTACAGAATCAAAGTCAGTATGGCAGATGCCTGATAATGATTACACACGTATGCAGAAAAACTCTTCTGTACGGTCCAGTTTTAAAATGGGCCAGTTAAAACTCGTGATTGTAAAGACAGTAGAGAATGGAAAAAGTTACAAACAATACAAGTATACAAAAGCATTTATCAAACCTCCAATGTCAATTAGAACTCCATCCCAGGTCTGACCTGACAGTAATGCTCCTGAAATCACCCAGTGAAATAATGCATGTAGATCACTTATTCCTACGAAAAGGACAACTGATCAAGAGATAGAATCATATAGGATGTGAGGCAGCCATCTGGCCACCTTACCTATCCCAGATCTTGAAAAAGAGCTGACCAATTGAGTTCCACTTCCCTGTTCTTTCCCTATAGCCCTGAAATGTTTGCCTTCAAATATTTATCTGATGCCCTTTTGAAAGTTCCCGTTGAATCTGCTTTCAGGCAACACATTCCAGATATTCACTGCGTAAAGCTCATCTTTCCTCCTCTGATTGTTTAGTTAATTATTTGACGTGTTCTCATAATGGAAGTAATTTAAGATGACTGGCAAAAGTAATGGTGATGCAAGGGTTTTTTTTTAAATATAAAGATGCGGTGAACGGTTAGGACCTGGAATGGACTGGAGTCAAGGTCAATCATGCTTTCAATGCCGAATTGGTTTACCTGAAAAAAAATGCAGAGCCTTGGGCAAAAGATAGGATGGGACTACCTGACCTGCACATAGACAGCTGACATGGACAAGGTGAGAAGAATGGCTCCCCTTTGTGCTGTAACTATTCTACAATTCTAAGAACAAACTAGGCTAACAAAACAGAAAGATTCCATTTGGCAGCAACTGTACTCTCAAGAACAGGCCCTTTAACTGCATAATTTAGCAATGGTATAATGTGGATTAGCCATTGTCTTTTACATCCCAATATCAAAGAGACAGGGAGCCCATTTTCTGTTTTCTCCCTCAGTGAATAAACATCTGATACTGCACTGGGAAATAAACACAATTAATTAGATTGTGTCCACTCTGCAAGAAGGGAACTGGTACATTTACGAAAATGTAATCCAACCTGGAGTTTGTGACTAAATTTATCTCGTCTCAGTGATAGTTGGACACAGTGGTGATTAATCCGTGTTCCTGGGAGATTATTATTGAATTTTATTTTCTATTTGCAGTAGGTTTTTTATGGGAGAGGATTGGAAAGTAGAAGGAAAGGCAGTTCTGAGGGGAAGGTGTAATTCTGAGGAGAGGAATAGAATAGGGCATTTCAGAGGATGGGAGGGGAAAGGGGTTGGGATACCCCCTCAGAAGTGAAATCTACTTAGAGTCATAGAATCATACAGCACAGAAACGTACCCTTCAGTCCAACTTGCCCATGCTGACCAGACGTCCTAATCTGACCTGGTCCCATTTGCCAGCATTTGGCCCATATCTCTCTAAACCCTTCCTATTCATGTACTGATCTAGATGCCTTTTAATTGTTGTAATTGTACTCACCTCCACTGCTTTCTCTGCCAGCTCGTTCCATACACACACCACCCTATGCATGATAAAGTTACACCTCAGGTCATTTTTAAATCTTTACCCTCTCACCTCAAACCTATGCTGTCTAGTTTTGGACTTTCCCACTGTGGGAACAAGGCCTTGGCTGTTCAGCTTATCTACGCCCCTCATGATTTTATAAACCTCTTTCAGGTCACTCCTCAGCCTCCGACCCTCCAGGGAAAATAGTCCCAGCTTCTCCCTATAACTCAAATCTTCCCATCCTGGCAACATTCTTGTAAATCTTTTCTGTACCCTCTCAAATTTAATAACGTCCTTCCTATAGAATGGCAACCAGAATGGTATGTAGTATTCTAAATGTGGCCTCACCAATGTCCTATAGCAGCCGCAATATGGCGTCCCAACTCCTATGCTCAATGTTCTGACCAGTGATTTGTACAGAGTTAGAAAACACTCAAACCTGCCATGGCAATGTGTGAAAACATGTCCGAAGACGTTGTATAAAAATACGTCTAACTTTTGTACTTTTGTATTTTTGCCTTTGGGGAAAAAATTAATTTGGGCATTCTTTGGAAAGGATGTATCGCAGGCTTTGGTGGAAATACATTCTCTCCGCTGGTTGGACCAATGGTGAGGGGTTCAGGTGACATCTGGTCTAATGTAAGGAGGAATGCGTGGCTTGATCAATTAGTTTCTGATTGTGGCAGATTAGAGCTGGTACATGCCTAGTACTTGGCGACTCAGTAGAGATTCAAAGATCACCAAAAGCTCACTGTATTCCCGAGTTTAGAATCGTGTGACAATTTTACACCCGGTTGGCACACATTGAAAACTTGGTCATACTTCAGTTTACACCATTTGCTCAAATCTCCTGAAGCAGAGGATCAGTTCATCACGAACTCCTTACCACAGTAAGCCAAGACATTACAGGAAACAAAAAAGACATCACAGAACTTAATTGAAACCCTGCATTTGTACAGATCCTTTCATGACTTCTCGATGGTTTTACAGCTAATTATATACTTTTAAACCGAAGTTATAATAGTAGCAAACAAAACGCAACAGCCAATTTGTAAACAATAAGATCCCACAAGCAGTGAATGAATGAGTGAATGACCAGATTGTCTGTTTTTATGTCACTTGTTGAATGATAAACATTGGCTAGGATATTAGGGAGAATTCATTTGGTCACCTTTGAAATGATGTTGCGGATTCTTTTACATCCTGTAGAGCAGCATTTGCATCAGTAAAATAGCACGTCCGACATTACGATGCTCCCTCAGTCCTGCATAATGTTTGCCTAGATCTTACTGAATTGTTTCCGAAAGCAGTGAACAACACACAACATTCTATATGCTGACCCACAGCTGTCACCTTAAGTTAATAGGTGCACAAAGTACAATTCTGTGACTACAGAGACAACAAATTGAAATGGGCAAGTGGGGAGCATCAGTTAGACAAGTGAGGGAACTTCAGCAGGATGATGGATACCTTCCACCTGATTGCAACTATTGACTGCCCCTGGGTTGGCCTCCCTTCCTCTCCCAGGAAACTAGGGTGATTGATGATGACACATTCTTGCAATCCCAATGATACAATCCATTTGTCTTAGCAAAGGCATTTCAGATTCTTTAATGCAGAGATAATAGAAAAGCAATGGGATGCGCTGCACTTATAACACACTTATGAAACATTCAACTGAGGCTCCACTACCCACACAAAATATTTTAAGAAACTACTGAAAAACAGGCCTCCCCGTTGTTTCTAATACTTATCCTTCAGTCCAAAATCATATATACACAATCACACATTTATTTACTGTTAGTGTGATCTAGTTTTACACAAATTGACTAACCCATTTCCTACTTACCAACAACTACACAAACTACATTAGTCATAAAGTATGTTGCAAATTCAACTCTTTTTTTTAAACCTTCAAACTTTTTCTGTAAGTTATACAAATCCTGACACTGAGATAAAGGAGACATTGGGACAGGTATCCAGAAACTTGGTTGAAAGTGTAAATGTTAAGGAGACACAAACGTTTTGGGAGGGACTTCCAGAATTCAGAGCCTCAGTAGCCAAAGGCAGTGGTGGAGCAAAAGGAGTGTTTTTTTTCTTACAAGAAAGACTTAAGTATAGGTCGCACATTTCAGACCACCAGGCGCCTGTTTAAAAACCCTTCACAGACACTGAAGTACTTTTTTGAAGTGTACATAGTGTTACAATGTAGGAAATAATTCAGAACTGTAGGAAGACAGTTCTGGCAATGTCACTGAACATTACACAGATTGGGAGGGTGCAACAGAGGTAGCATTTGAGCAGGAGAATGAGAATTTTAAAATTGCATTTTGTTAGTCCAGGGACCAGTCAGTCAAGATCACTGTGTACAAGTATGCTGGGTGAACAGGACTTAGGAAGGAGTCCCTTCCGGAAGAACAAATTCTCAATCTCTCTCTGGAAACCAACTAAATGTAGCAGTTAATGCACTCTTACCTTTAACATACGGATCTCTCTCAATGCAATCTTCTTTATCAAAGGATCGTCTTCCGATTCCACAAATTTCTTGATGGCCACAATCTGACCCGTGTCCTTGTTCCTGCACCTGAACACCACCCCATAGGAACCCTCCCCGATTTTACCCAGCTTCTCATACTTCTCCATCTCGCTGACGGAGTCCTAGCTTCTCAAACGCCAAAATCTCCAAAGCAAAGGCTATAAATTTGCCTTTTCTGCTTCTTCTGATTTTCAGCTCAAAATGTTTAAAATTCAAAGTTTTTTTAATGTTTATCGAGCGCTACTTCACTGACTTCCAGTTATGATAGTTCCTCTCTCTGTCGATCTGCCTTTCTCTTTTCTCTGTTGCTGTATTTCCATTCTCCTTTTGTTACTCTCCTGGTTTCTCGTCTTCCTCTCTTGCCCGTCTTTTTCTCTCTCTCTTTGCTATTATCCTGCCTCTGCGACTCTTTTACTCTGCTGTTTTTGCATCTATTGCTGTCTGTCCCTCCCTTTAAAGGCAGGGCAGCAGGTTTTAACGATCTCTTGGCTAGCGGACCCCACCTCCGTTTGTTTACCCTCACTCCACTATCCTGTTCTTTCCCCCAGGCGCTCCAATTAGCTGCAACTGTAGACCTATCGCTCCACCTCTCCGAACACCATCACGATCACGTGCGTTTTGCACCAGTCTAAGTCCCGCCTCCATTGGTCACCATTGGAAGCTGTGGGCACATGCGACTACCTCTGGGCGTTGATAGGTCACTTAAATTCGTTACATCTTGCATGCAAAATTCCGGGAGGAGAAAATAATCCAAGGAAAGACGGGGGAATAAGGTTTACCTGGAGCCAACGGGTGCGCGGGAAAGTAGAATCTACCTGGGGACAAAGGGCAGGGGGTCAGAAATGATCTGGGTACAAGAGACAGGGATAACAAGGTGTAGAGCTGGATGAACACAGCAGGCCAAGCAGATCA